GGCGGAGCTGAGGCTCCCTGCCTCTGCCTCCCTTCCCCCATCCCACTGTATCTGAAAGCAAAAGAGCCTAGACACCATCCGAGGAGGTTTTTCACCTCCCTGACGAGAGAGGGGGGGAGAGAGAGCCGCTTTGCTTTGCAAGAGACACAGATTTCCACATTGAAGGCCAATGAGAGAGTGAAAGACAAGAGGGACAGTGAGGAAGAAAGAAGCAAAGACAAAAAGGGAAAGAAGAGGGTGAAGGAGATAGAGAAGTGCACAGAGAGAGAGAGAGAGGAAGGAAAGGAGCAGGGGGGAATCAAGTGTGTTCAAGGCTGGAGAATTAAAGGCCGAGTTGCACCAGCAAAGAGTCACAAGCCTGTAATTTATAGGCAAGTCTCAACTGTTATTTTATCCTCCCACAACAGTGAGTCTTTATACCTGAGTGTGTGTGCAGGTATGTGTGTGTGTTTGCAAAACGAGGACAGAGGGACAAGGTGAAACGGATGCAACACAAATAAAATTCCGACACCTGATTGTTTGGGGAATATTGTTTCAAAGTGAGCGCACTCCATCTGTGGGGGAGCTCGCTTCCAGTGAGGCAAATCTAACACACCCTGGCACGGAGAGAGAGAGTGGGGGTGTTTCTCAAGATGGATGTTACAGTTCTGAGGAAATCATCTCCAGAAGCAGACAAGCGATGGTGCACGAGGAGCAGTTGGTCGGCCATATGCTGCTGCACGGGGCCCTGAATGTGTATGAGAGAGTGTTTGTATGCATGAGACACAGTGAGGGTGTGTTAAGTGTGTGTAGGCTGAAGCCCGAGTGGGTGTGTTGTATGTTTGCGTACTGGCTGCTGCAGTGTGTGAAGCCTGCAATGAGTATGGCCAAAAGTATGTGGATACCCCAGTACATGTCAGGCCTTTGTTCTGGTCCCTGAGCTCCAGTGAAGCAAACGGTTTGGGGAAGGTGTTTGTTGAATCTGAAGAATCTGACTGGCCTGCCTCCTGACCCCAACCCCATCTTACCCACCCCAGATAACAAGTCATACTAGTATTAGACAGAAGTTGGTATTTGAAGATATTGATGAAGATTTGAATTATTAATATTATTATTATACAGCATACGAACAAATCAGAACAATCTATAAACAGGTAACTATAGCTTTACGGTTAATGTAATTTTAAATGCCTAAAAGGAAAATACTTGATGTTTGCACATACTTCAGGCTATATGCAGTGTATTAAATGTATGCATAATTAATGTGCATGTGTTTGTTTTGTATATTTTGCGAGTGTGCTCATGCTGCATACAGAAAAGTGTTCATTGTGTATATGTGTGTGTTTGTGTATGTGCATGCATGTGTAGGTGTGCAGTCAGTGTGTGTGTGGTCAGCTGGCACTCACAGCGTCTCGGGGATCTGGTCAGGTCCAGCTTTTTCTCTGCATGTGGAGAGAAGGAATCTGTCACTTCTCTTTTCCTCCTTCCTCCTCACGCTCTCGGTTAATTCCACGTCAAACTAAGCGTTAAAAACTTTTGAGAGAAACCAAGCGTGTAGTGCCAGTTAATGGAATCATTCAGAGTTAAACATGCCAAGCTGCTAGTTGATGATTACCAACCCTTGAGAGCTCTGACAGTAGAAGAAGCAGGCAGTGAGTAAGGAATGTAAAGGTGGGCTTTAACTCACTGAGAGGGCTCTAACTGCCGACTTCATGTCCTCATGTCTTTGTTTCTCTGAACAGATGTTTCATAATGTGCAGGTAATGGCAGTTGTACATGTTGACCTTATAAAACCATGTGAGAGCAATTGTAATACAATAGACTCTCTTCAAGCTCAGTTTTAACAGCACATTAACGCTGATTCATTTTTAATGTAATGCTAATATTTGTGTGTGTGTGTGTGTACATGTGTTGGGGGGAAGAGCAGCTGCAGCAGTAACAAGGTACTGAATGCAGGATAAGCAAACAGGAGATTCAAAACAGAGACTATGCATTGGCACAGTGGGCCAGTAAAGAGACGGAAAACGGTAAGAAAATGAAGCCAAAATATCCAGAATGCTGCCATCAGGCCCCTCTGACTCTAACCAGGAGATCTTCTTGTTGCTTAAAAAACAAATAACCTTCATAAAATGTATCCAATCGTGCAGGAGAATTTGTCAGCAACCGATTCTACACGGTTCTAATAAATACCCAATTATCTCCCGTCTTTAACTGGGGAGAATTCCTTTGTTGTACCAACTCAGCAACAGCCGGACGCCTGTGTGTGCGTCCTGCTGTGCTGAGGCACAAGGTGTAAGACTGTGCCTGCTACTACTCCGACACATCCCACCTCCAACACTTGTGCGATCTGCTGATGAGCGCTAAACGGTCTCCCAGCATCCACCAGAACACTGCAGTGCGACCTGGGACTCAACTGCTCGACAAGTATAATGAAGTAATTAAATCAATTTTCTTTCCAACTAGCCCCTCACTAACATAGCATCTGGGTGACAGTTTAAAGGAATACTGTAAATTACATTTAATGTAAACTTTAACTCATTATTTAAACCGTGCAAACACAGTTTATCTTCAGCTGTGGGGAAAAGGTTGATTTCACCATGGAGACTAACTTTGCATACTTTTAGTTTTGTTTTAATATAAACTTCAGCTGAGATCTTCAAACTGTACATATACCCTTGTGGATGACCTAGCATCATAGTTTTGACTGGGTTGCAGAACAATGTTACAAGTCCCTTCATTGTACTGATGATGTTAAAGGATCCCGTGGGATTTTAAAGTGTAGCTGGAAATCTATCAGGTTTAAAAAAACAAAGGAGAGGTCAGACCACTGTGACTCAGCTACCAGCCAGAGGACAAACAAGCTTATCATCCTTTCATGAGCCAAGTGATAAAACACCACCGACCAAAACTGTTCAACCACCTCCAACGTTTTTCTGTGGCTCGAGATACGATCACATTTGTTCTGGGTCTTTGAGATACGGCGGGCCAGCGTTACAAATCAGTCAGTCTGGATAAATATATGGATGAATGCATGGGGGGGCGACAAAGTCTCAATATATTAATAAATACATGTCGTAAAATATGAAATTATGGATGAATAGTTGAAAGAGCATGACCGAATGGATGACATGTGGGGCTGGAACATCACGGTGCACCCTGTTGAGGTGGAATTAGGAGTCAGAGGCCTACAGGACAATAAAAGCAATAAAACAGGCTACCGAGCGAAGCTGTCATTGGTGATGGTTGAAAAGGAAGGACCTCACCTGGTCCACTAAGTGATTGCCATGAGAGACTAGCAAGAGCGTATTTGTCAGAACCCGAAGCACAATATCCTCCGATGGCAAACAGTTTGCCCTTCATCAGAATATGCCCAATAAAACAGAGTGCTGATCCACTGGGATTGAAACACCCAGTCATGATTACCAATCAAGTCGTACGTAATTAGAAGTCAGAAAACAACATTTCAGCTGCATCTGGCCTCCCTCATGTCACCCTGCAGTAAAAAAGCTGCAACCCAGGGCAAGACAGGTAAAAATGGGACTGAGTCATTTGCTCTTTTTATAGAAAGAAGCTTTATGGACACATGTGCTCTTAATAAAACATCTCAAATCTTATAACTTCATTCTAACATATTAATATGTTGCATATATTTCATAAGTTTTGATGCTGGAGTGTAAAAGTTGAATGTGGCTTGTGCTTACAAAGTAACCCCACCTGCTCAGGGACTATGTGAAATGAAGTGCACCCCTCTTCCTTACAAATACTGCTGAAAGGTCCTTGAGCAAATCACTGAAGTGCCTGAACAGCACAAGTGGAGCAGCTCAGTGGCCCGGGCAGCTCTCAGATTTACAGTGAAGCTGAGCATCACTGATGAGAGCTAGCGTGATCTGTCACAGGTCTCCTGGTAAATTAAGATAAAAGTGACACCAATAATGTGGCTCATGATTCCTCTCAGCGCTTGAAGAAATGCATTAATGGAAACACGTAAACTGCAGTCCAGACATGTCTTAGGTCCAAGTTTCCGAGATGACATCATGTGGTGCATAAGTGACACAGTCAGACAGAGCAGAGTCCAACATGTGAGCAGGTCCCACATGTACACAGAAGACATGTCAATGAAGATGGAGCAAAGAAAAAGGAACAAGCAACTCAGATTTAGATTTACACTTAAAGTAAGTTTTTAAAATGAGAGTCTGTCTGTGGTTCACTTTTAATTATATATGAAGAATAACATTTAAATAGTTCTAGGTTTTTGGAATATTTATTGTTATCTGTTAGGAGGCTTTTTCTGGTGATAGTCTATTTTTTTTATTATTAACTAACCCCAAGTACAAAACCAAACAAATCCTCTGAGTAAGATTTCACTAGCTGTCCAAAGTCTATTAAACACAGCGGCTGTGGCTCAGGGGGTAAAGAGCAGGTCCACTCATCACAAGGTTGTTGGTTTGAATCCTTGCTCCATCAGTCCACATGTGAGAGTGTCCATTGTGCAACATCCTGAGCCCAGATTTGGACGTATGAGTAGAGAAGTGCTTTATATATAGAAACCCTGTGTGGATGTGGTGTAAAGTGCTTGTGTGGTTGTTAAGACTAGAAAAAGACCTATTTTAATGCAGTGCAAAGACCATTTACATCAGTGAGCCACATCCGTACACTTCATTAACATAAACACACTTTCCTGTTGCTCTGAATATTGTACGCAAATGTGGATTCATCTGTTGCTAAAATGCACTACATTCTCCTGTTTGAACAGGTTTTGCTAACAGTGATTTTATGTCTTCAGTAGTTCAGTGCACATGTATTTGAGTGCACTATTCTTTTTCTAAGTCTGCATGGTGCCCGACAACATTTTAGAACAGTTTATAGCTTAGGTTGGGAGGTTTTCTTTGGTGGCAATGCAAAGCACACTCCACTTGGTTAAAAGGTTAGTCCACTCAAACTGCAAACAGTGTTTTCACGATATTTAGCCAGTGTTAATTATCCGTCAGCCTGGACCTGCCGCACCACAACGCAGTACTTACTTGATGTAGTAGGGCACGTTGTTGGGGGAGACGCCCTGCTCGAAGGGGCTCTCTACTGACCCTGCAAGACAGAGAAGTGGAGGTAAACAACTGTTCACGCTGTCTGCAGGCCAATAAACGTTTCACACACCCATTTTACTGCAGGATCAGCATCCTGTGGCTCTAACAAAAGCATGCCCATCCAGGAAAAGTGCAGTACGGCATGTAATAAAAAAGTTATCTTCAAAGTCGTATACATGATAATGAAAAACAGCAGAAAAACAAGAGATATTGCAAATGATCTCACTTATTATGCCCACAAGAGTTGGCGCACCAAATATTAAAGCAGACTGTGCTTTCTGGGAATTGTCAGCACAGTTGGAGCCAATCAGATTGTTTGGCTGAAACTACCCGCTGTTCAAACGTTATTGTGCCCGCGGGTAAAATTTGCTGCAGTTAAAAACAGAGCAGTGCATTGTGGGACAAATGCCAGAACACATGCGGCGTATATTAACATAGCGGCGAGATATAAAAACCATGTACATCCTTACTGTTCTTACAATATCGTCCATGTGATCCTCATCACGTTAATCTTTATTATAACTCCAGCAAGTCTCCATCTGTCCTCATGTATCTATACATACATTATCAAGCTGGAGAGAACATATGGAGGAATGTGAATCGTCTCTCATTCCCAGAGACTTCATTTAACTATTATGTCGAGGTTATTTTAATTATGATATTTTATCTATGTAGAAAAAACGATCTAAAAGACTTAACCACTTTCATTCTTCTGTCTTGTGAAGTTGTGATCGTTTGTGGTCTTGTTGTGATTCTGCAGACCAGCTGTAACTAAACTGGCGTGTGGCTCCATGTGGACATCTTAGAAAATCATGAGTTTCTTTTTGTCCTTTGTTATTTTCCTTTTTAATGGCACTGATATCTGTATTACACTTGTTCTACATTTTCACACACAGCTGAGATAAGTGGGGGACGGCGATGGACATCAATAAGTGCAAGAGAAACAGAGACAGTTGTTTGTGTTGTTCGAAGGTGATTAATGGTAAATTTGAACCCTGAAGAGACTGGAGGGAAGACCGTGTGTATACTGGCTCTCAATCAGTTACGCGATCAACGAGGGACTGTGACTGTGATAGGGACGAGAGCCTTGGAACATACTGGGTTAAGTGCTGGGGTCATATTGGAAGTCAGCGATAGAAAAAAAAAATCAAGTTTCACAAACAGATCGATACGCTATCATAGGCTCCATGTGCAGCCAAATGAGTCACCGCGACATGCTAACAGTCCAGCCCTGTCTCTCTCTCTCACATGCCATTAACTGAGTGCCACCAAACGAGCTGCTGCCATTTAGTTGGATGCCTCATTTTGTCTCACACAGTTTACGATGTGTGCAGGTAGATTTACTCACCGTGCAGAAGGCCGAAGTCGCGGTGAGCGTCCGTCAGCTGCTTTAGATGTTCACTGATGGAGATCTGACGAAGGGAGAAACACGTTTAGATATAGATTTTGATGAACCCAGAATTACCACTAGAACTTGACATAAATGTTCTTTCAGTGGTTTTTAATTACAGTCTGAACATTATTGCATGAACTCAGCATTATCAGGATTTAGCTGAGATGAAATTTAACACAGATTATGAGGAGAAATCCTTATTTCCCATCAAAATAACAAATAATAATGAATAATGGAAAGCCACAAGAAACCTCTCAAGAAATGAACGTTTTCAAAATGTGTTGATGCCAAGAAGGGATTTGTATTGATGTAACTGTGAAGAGTGAAAAATTATATTAACACTGAAGAGAAAAAGCACTTGGATACAAGGATGGGCAGATGGAGGGAGAGGAGGATGAGCTGGAGACACAGAGACAAGTATGGAAGCGATAATTGAATTTGTAGTGGAGGAATTAGAGAGGACGCAGTCTCCTGTGAGTCTCCTTCAGCTACGAATGAGCTGTCTATCTAGATGGAGCTGAGATAATTGTGCTAAATCAGCACGGCCCTGTAGGTACACAGGGAGGCAGAGCTCAGCCAGGTGGGGGCCACACACAGATTCCCTTCTAATCAAACTCTGCGTTCAGCATTGATCCACATTTAAATACCTATCCCGCAGACAGCTTTTTAATGGGACTGATTTTACAGTATCTTAAACGTCAAATTAAATTACAGCATCATAAAAGATGATCGACAAGACTATCTTTTGATATCACGATCTCCGGGGAAACGGTTTTGAGAACCTGTATTCAGACAGGGGCTCCTATGAAATAAATGCAGTCCATCACGTTCCATAAATGTACACTTCCGTAAGAAGGCTCCATAGTAAGACTGCACGTGTCTATGTTTTTTATTTATTACAAATATGCCTCTTACCGAACTGAAGGAAACGGCTGCAAAATCTGTTGGCTCTATTTAAGCCTTTCTAATCTCGTGTATAATTCACATAAAAAGCCAGCTGATGCTGAGCGTACCCCAGAGGAGCCAGTGTGTGTCTATAGCCGCTGATGCTTCCTGACACAGTGTTCAATGATCTGATGTTCCCAGGCAACACATGCGGCTCACACCGGCACGGTGAGCTTTGGCAGATTCTTCTTGCAGGAAGTGAATAAGGTAGCGGAAGGATAAATCATCTTCCTCTGAGAGTCTTCTTGAGGTTGAGCGACTGCGATGTGTTATTATCCAGTCCGACTGGACAAAAAGGTTGATTAACAATCCAGCCTTTCTTACACGGACCACATGAGAAGGCCAGTGATGACACATTATCAGGGGAGTGCGTGCACACCCGTGTGGGTGTGTGTGATTAATGGTATGAGATGAAAATACTGTAGGGATGATCAGTCCTTTTTTTTTGGGCTACGATGCGACAGGAAACGAAATGATGAAATTACCTTCGAGTCCACCTCACCCAATCCATTCCTGCCTGAGCTGTTTTTCCCCGTATCCATGGGAACCTAATTAGGATTGTACAAACGAGAGGAGTGGGACTGTTGAGGAGGAATTTGTTGCAATTACTCAGAGTGCACTGTGTCTCCGTGCCGACCAATCAGGTTCAACCTTTTAGGCATGAAAGAACACCGCGACCGACTGAAGTAACCTGGCCGTGCAGGTACCACACACGCACGCACACACACTTGTGAGCGAGCACTCACCTATAATTTAATCTGCACTGACTAAAGCAGAAAACATGGACGCACATCGGATACACTCACATTAGCAGGCATGTGAGTTAATTTACACGCAGACACACACACACACACACACACACACACACACACACACTTCTATCACCTTTAAAAAGTGATGCCAACATTCCTGGGCAGACATACTGCTCCCTATAAACCACCTGCAATGGAAACTGGCTTTTTAAAAACTGCCAGTTAAATCCCCTTTTCTGTCCAAACCAAAACACTATTTTCTCCTCTTGGAAATGACCAGAAAAATAATTCTCTCCTGGGTGAAAATGAGACACGGCCTGTATTTATTGAGCTGCTAAAAGTGGGAGATAAAATGCTTAATATTCGCCTCTACTTGTGAACTTAAGAAAAGAGGTAATTTATCATATTCACTCAGAATTAAATGCTCCAAAGTTTTAAGAGAACTCTGTAAAGACTATAAATAAAAGTGCAAGATCCAGTTAAAGGCTGAAGTAAAGAGAAATGTTTGAAGTTTTCTTTTGAAGGTGACATAGTTAACCAGAGAGTCAGCTATCAGGTCCTAACCCATTCAGAGCCTTGCATGTAAGGAGGAGAACCTTCAAGTCAACGTGTTACACAGTGCAGAGCAGCTAGAAGTGGACTTGTGTGTTCTCTCCTCTTGGTTCTGGTTTACCGCTGAGCAGCAGAGTTCTGAATTATAGATCACAACCTCTCCCTTTGTTTATGTACAATACGTCAATTAGGCTGATGTTTGCACCTTCATTATAACACAAAGGTGTGTGTATGTTTCAGCATTGTGTGTGTGTGCACACAAGCATCTGGTCAGGAGCTAACTTCAGAGAGACCGGCCGTCTGGTCCCGTCACCGCGGTGTCACCGCAGCGCCCATCTCCGACCAGGACTCCTTGGCGGTAGTTGGTGTCTCTGGCAGCTGATTGGCTCTATCTGTCACCCGCGGTAACAATCACTGTCTGACTTGCTGCATGGCTGCCGCTGTGTTCACTGAGACTGATAGAGGCCCAACATGTGCTGCCTCCAGAGTGTGGTGCTCTGCATCTATCAAGTGTGGAGGGGTGGGGGGGTGGTTGGAAATGGATTGCTGACCTGAAAAAGCTGAGTCTTGGAAAGTTTACACTCAAGCAATGTCAGCCAGTGTTACAGGAGATTTCCTAACATGTGTTTTGTAGACGTTTATCATTACGAGATTTTGAGGATTCAAATCTGAGCTATTACGTGGATAGAAAGCTGGACTGATTAAAGAAGAGAATATTTATTCCATCAGATACACGTGGTACAGATTAAAAACCTAGGTGTGACACATTCTGTGTAGACCTGCTGTCAATAGCATTTACTCAGCAACCCATCCCCTTTAACCGTTTCTTACGAGATTTCTGAATTAAAACAAGTCAGCTGGAATCAATGAAAACAGCTTGAGACAGTTGTTTGAGCTAAACTTATTATAGCTATTTAGATCTGCCAGTGTTTATCTCAGCTGGTAAAATCAACAATCAACCATCGCTAGAAATAAGACGTCTGCTTTTGTTCCACTCCGTCTGAAACATCTTTTAAATGAATCTGTGTCATCTTTGGAAACCGTAGATGCCATGTGAGGAAGGAAAGGTTGACAGCTGTGCAAATAGTCAATTGCAGGAGAAGTGTTTAATAAAAGTCAGAACACAAGTGTGTGCCTATATCCTTAGTACTTTAAGTTCATTCGTTAAAGTGGCATTAAAGCTGTGATGGACTTTTGATAGACAAAAACAGTGTCTGTGTGTGTGTTTGTGGGCACGATTGTGTACCTGGAGCAGTCTCCAGCGCGTGTTGAGTTCTTCGATGCGTTCCAGGTTGTTGGGCGACAGCTGGATGTCATGCGGGCCGAAAGTGGACGCCAGCTGGTTCATGTGAGTTACATCATCTTTAATCGGAGCAATCTCTTCCTGGAACTCCTGCAAAACACACAAGCGCTCTGGTCATTTCTAAAATGCACATTTATGGCCTCCTGTCCTCTCTTATGTAAACTGTGCTAAGAGATATGGAACTATGGCCTCCTCCTCACTGCAGTCGGTGGGGAAGGAGTGATCGAGCAGATTCTTTTAACTTCTGTAGACTCTGTTTGTCCCATCCCAAATGACAGTGAATCTAATCTAATGCCATTGGTGGCTCGTATTATATATTATGTACTAATGTATAGGATAATGCAGTTGCATCACAATGCTTCTGATATACCGTACCTTGGTCTCTCTTAAAAACAGTCAGGTTAAAGGTGAGTTACAGTAAATACGTCAAGATGTATCAAGTAGCATCATTAAATCTGACCTTTACTCTTTCGATGTGCTCCGGTAGAGAGTCGATCAGCAGGTCACCCACAGGTTCCCATGCCTCCTTCACCATCTCCGCCTGCCTCAGCTGTCCGTCCAACAAGTCCTCTGCCTCCTGGAGTTCCATGAGCCGATCCAGAGCCAGCTCCAACCTCCTCTGCCAGTCAGCCGAGTGAGCGTTGAGCTGGTCCCACTTCATCACCACGTCATCGGCTTCCTTGCGCAGGATTCGCCCCACATTGTGCGCACGCTCTTCAGGGCTGATATCTGGGAGTGATAGGAAAAATAAGTGACTTGAGCTCTGGTGACATAATCCAACAATTTGAAAATCGCCTATTTCCTTTAATTCATTTGATCTGACATTTAAATAAAGTCTGTGGAAATTATGATTTAAGTTAAATCATGGCTTGAAATATATAATCACATGTTCTGACATTTTGACTCCATATCTTACAATTTAAGATGTTGTAAAATATAATTTAGTATAATTTAAGTAATTTATCAAAGTGCCAAGTGAAATGTCAATACACTCAAAAGCACAGCATCAATTCTTGCTTTTTAGATGTCTATTTCCAAGTTGAAATTGCAGAGACAGAATCATTTTCCATGTAGAAATTAGGCTTTTATCCTCCTGTACCACAGTTATTCGTGGCTGGAGTTCATTCTTTCTTTCTGTGTCAACTGAGTGTGCTTGAGTTGCCACCTGAACAGATTAAATGGGCCACAGTTAGAGTTCAGCTGTTTTATATGAACCTGGTAAGTGGGCTGCTGCAGGAGGTGCTACAGGAAAGTCTGTGTATATGTGCTAACCTCCACATGTGGCCGTTACCAAGCTGTTACTAAGGTCCAGAGTTAACTGTGTGACTCAGAGACAAAAAGAAAGTGGAGGAGACAGATTTGTTCAATTTACTTCATATCTTCATTTGATGTTGCACTTCAAGACCTGGGGCTGATCCTGGTGTTTCCATGGTTGAAAATGTCACTAATTAATACGGTATTTCCTGTATTTACATTCCAGTTTCAGCATTTACATAGCAGGTCAGACAAGGTCTTTTCACATGTTAATGGATCTTTTATATAATAACCTACAAACGTTACATTCAAGCTTCTTCTCAGTACATCAGCATGAAAAGCAATCTTAACCTGTGTGTGTGTGTGTGTGTGTGTGTGTGTGTGTGTGTGTGTGTGTGTGTGTGTTACCTCTCTGATCAGGTGATGGTGTGCCGCCTCGGGGCAGTTCTGACAGAAAGACTCCTACATCGTCCAGACTCTTGGTCACAACTGGCTCCTTAGCTCTCAGGTCCCTCCTGAATCCCTGTGAACAACACACACACACATGGACACAACAAATTTAATTGCATTAATCAGTAGCGGTACATTATATTGTTGTTGTTTATTATCTCTCTCATACCTGATAAAGCCCATGTAAAATGAAGTTTACCACCCCAGAGACTTAATGCAACTTTAATTAGGACCTCGATGGCCCCTGCACACGTCATTTGACTAAAAGCCTTTTCCTAATGCATACCTGCAGGAACTCATCATTTTGCAGAATCATTGCAGTCTTAATGCATGAAATGGTCAAATCAGCAGAGCCAATCATCTCCCTTCAAATATAATTGTGCGTAAAATAGGTTTTTCATTCATCCCGTCTCCACTATACTGTCCATTTATTCAGAGCCTTTGATTTGTATAATGTTAATCAGAGAGACATGAGCTGTGTCTCTGACATCCACGGCTGCTACTGCAATGACAAAGCTTTTTATTAGAAAGCATCACACACACTCATTTGACTGAGAGAAAACGCAGCGGCCTAATGGGGTTGTGTAAGTCACGGATCCTGAGCTTTACCTTACAGGCTCTCCTTCGCTGCAACCTACAAGAGGACTGAGCTCTGAAAACACAGAAATCTGAAAACCCTGGAAGAGGGACCAACTCATTAATGGCCCTGTAATCCTGCGCTGTGCTTGAGATTCAGACACAAACGCACTCAAACATTCCTCTCATGGACAAAGTTGCTTCAGAAAAGTAAAGGAGGAAAGAATTTTGTGAATGTGTGTCTGTGTGTTTCCTCCTACCCGGTGTGTGTCCAGCTGCGACTGCACAGCGGGGACATCGCCCCCCACAGGCGGCTCCTGCGCCAACTGTTGACTTTTAAGCCTCAGCCAGTTCAGGAGCTCCTGCAAGGACATGTGGAGCCTCTTCCACGGGGCCATCTCTGAGTCCAGGTGGGCCCTTGAAATACAAACACACAGACATTTTTATGTTTCTGTTCTGCTTTGTGTGAACTTCAAGTCAAAGACTTCCAATGCTTTCTATGGCTGGAACCTCAGCTTCCCCTCACCTCATGCTGAGGGTCTTGTTGCACAGGTCATTCCAGCGCTGGCTCATGTTGTCCAAACGTTTCTGGAGCAGAGCAGTGTCCGCCGAGTCATCGAGCGAGGTAAGAATCCTTTGGCCATTCTCATCCAGGGAGTGGTACAGCTCTGTGTGGCTGTCGATCTCTGTCTGGAGGTCCTGGTAACACAAACACAAAATAGGACCAAAAAAAAGCAAGAGAAATGAATTCTACTGGCAGGCACACTTCAGCTTCTTGGTAATAGCAGCCATCTTTCAGGAATGCACCTTTTTCACTGCTTGGGTAGAGTGCTCAGTAATGGGATTGGGAGCTGAGTGGTAATTTACTCTCTAGGATTGAGCCATAATGCAGTGCTTAATGTATTGTGGATGGGACCCCCTGTAGCACTAAAGTGTCAAAATGTGTTTTTCAGCCTGGCGTCAGCTGGTAGCTGAAACAACAGTGGCACCACCTGTGTACATTCTTCCTCCTGAGAATCTATTACTGAAACCCCTACTGTTGCAGATAGGAAGCAAGAAGGACGTCACACACAGACCTTTGTGAAGTGAAAAGGGAATAAATCTTGATTTCCATGAGCACCTCCTCAGGTGCGGTTTGCATAGAAAACAGCAGCAAATGAGATGGCGATCTTTACTGCATATGGAAGCATCTGTTTTTAATTTCAACTCAAGCCTTCTACCATTTACTTTGTGTTAAAAATGGACTGCATTAATATCACACTTTTCTGAATCTTAAAAACCACTCAATGCACTTTGACGTCTGGACTGGAGGAGCAGAGGATTGAGTCATTGACGTTCTGGTTAGATGACACGCTTTACTTCCTGAGCCACAGCCACAGCAAAACAACAAGGCTTACTCAGTCAATTACCAAGTCTCAGGGAATCAATTAAAGACACAAACCTCTACTGAGATATTTCAGTGTCTCAAGTCAAACAAAACAATCATTCATTTTAATGTCGTTCAAGATATTTCACCCAGTTTTTAAAGCATCAAATAAGTAATTAAAAGGAAAATACTATACTGCATTCATCTATACTGCATTCAGCTATATTGTAATGGTTTTTTATTTTCCCCTATATTTTCAGAAATGAGTCAAGCCGTGAAACGTGGAGGAAAACTTCCTGTTCAAGAAAGTTACACTCACTGGAAGTTTTATGATAAATTAGATGACATGAAATTTTAATGATACCTGAAGAGAAAATTGGGTCATTGCACCAAAGAGTAGGAAACAGATGAGAATAGAACAAATAGAAAACAGTGAAGACAGGGAAGATGGAGTGCAGCATTAGACTGATGAATGTGCTTATACAAAGTGTATTAAGGTTTTGCCCGTAATCTAATTTTGCTCTTAAGTTTCTCAACATCAGCTTTGCAAGACTAAACTTTGATATATTTATGATAAATGGTTGTTTTTACATTAGTTGATGCGAAAAGCACTAAGGTTCACAATGTGTCTTCTTGAAAACAGCTTAACATTTCAATTAACCTTAATACATTTATCCCAAAATGTAATAATCATTCATAAAAGAACATTGCTTGATTTTGTTTTCCCAACCTGCACGTGGTAGATCTTCCTGCGCGGCATCCTCCAAACTTTACAAAAACTAGACGACAAGCAAAAGTATCATGATCATCTGCTTCTTCTAGTCCCTCAAGATTAGCTCCCAGTGTAACTGCATTAGAATGCCCTCTGTTTAAATTTGTGTGTGACAAAGAGAGAGATTTGGAGATGAAGAGTAAGGGGGGGGCGTCATAGAGAGATGGAGGGAGAGTGAGTTACACATGAAAAGAACAGCGGAGCTGTACAACGTGAGTTAGAGCGAGTTAGAAAGACAGAGGGAGTTTGAAAGAGAGAGATAGCGGAGATATAGAGGGAGAGGAAAAGAGACTTTGGTGCATAAAACGATGAGTGCGCTCATTTTCCAATTAAACGTTATCTGTGAGCAGTGTTGAAGCTCGAGATAGTGTGTGTGCTCTCTGGATCCAACGCCGCGTTACTGTCCGCCATTATAATTGGACACAGAAGACTATCTCAGCACAGCATACAGTGCTGCTGTTGTACTGACAGAGCTGTGTGTGTGTGTGTGGAAAGGAAGTGTGCACACACTGAATTTGCAACAGTGTTCGAATAATCATTTCCAAAATGCTTCATGTGTGCATGCGCTGTTGCACCAGAAAGAGTGTGTGGGTGCAGGGTGAGGGCCGAGGGTCAAAATATGTTCTCTCGCAGAACAGAGCCTTCCCTTCACCACCCACAATGCAGTGGGGGGATTCTGCATTTGTCAACCGAGCAGCTGTCGACCCATGAAATGTCTTTATTCTGCCATGTCAGGATTCCTGTCATACCAGCCAGAGCAGAGGGTCAAAGAAGAGTGTCTCAAAGTCCAGGTCAAAAAGTGGAAATGCTCTGGAAGTCTGGTGACAAAATCATCTAAGGACATCTCCGACATAGCCACTGTGTAACACTGCCGCTACCGCATGCACATTTCAGACTGTATTCAGCGAGGGTTGATTACATAAAAGAAAAGAAGCAGATCGGTCTTGTTCTTTTTGTCAAGCTGTCTGTTAAGGTCTCACATTGAAAACGCTCTAGGGCGACAGTGAAAATCAATGCAATAATTACACAATAAATAACTAGGCCATTCAGTTACATGCTAATGTGTGTGGAAATTCATCAGTGGAGCTGTGCACAGACTGAGGAGCAGGAATATATAACAGAATGAGGAGGAGCTGAGTGTGTGTGTGTGTGTGTGTGTGTGTGTGTGTGTGTGTGTGCACGTAGCCTACCCTCCATTGTGCCAGCAGGTTCCTGGCTGCGTCAGGCTGCTCCTGCAGTCTCTGCTTGTTGGTGGCGTCGATCAACACGTTGCAGGTCGTCTCAGCCTCCGTCAGCCAGTTGAGGAACTTCTCCAGGTCGAGGTAGAATTGCTGCAGCACCTTCAGAGCTGCCTCCAGAGCAGACTCCCTGTCTGAAACCCTGAGGAGACACACATACATGACAACGGTTTTTTGAACCAGTTCCTTTAGAGTTTAGGACACCACATTATTTTGGATCCTTTTAATTGACTGTCTTGTGTATATATGCAGCATGTGTGTCATTACCGTTTGTTGATATGTGTCCAGGTAGCCATCATGTTATCGTTGACCTGAGTGACCTTGTGCGTGTCATCATTGGCGTACAGTGTCAGCAGTTTGTCAGCCAGTGCGTTGGTTTTATCCACCTGACCCTGCGACTGCTGCAGCTCCTTCACAAAGAACTGAAGAGGGACGGGGGGATGGAGGGAGGTGTCAAACACTGATCTTCTAAATGGCTTTTCAGTTAATATGGAACAATGGAAAATGGTGTATACTTAGTATAATATATGTATTAACATATATATATGGTTCCAACATATTAATTCAGCCAGTGAATAATGGAGGAATGTCCAGCGCACCTTCAGTTCAGCATTCTGCTTCTTCAGTGCGTCCACTGTGTAAGTGATCTCCTGCCAGGACTCTAGCCTCTCACTGGCCCGCATGATGTGATGATCCGCCCCCTTCTTTGCATCCAGCCAATCGGTGGAGTCCTGCAGCATGTTGTGAAGCTGCTTCGTCCGATCTGAGAGTTTGGTCTGCGAGTCCTCCCAGTGAGTCTGAAGCCTGTCAACTACGACGACAGAAATAAAGAAAATACCAAACCGAGAAAGATGTTTAAAAGTTTGTAACGTGAGAGCTCCGGCTCCACTTTGTCGTTCTTTTGTTAGACTATTTGTGTGACTACCTTAGCTGCTGCACTGGGATCAGCCAAAATTGGACTTGCATACAAAGTCTAAATAGCCCACTAACAATCACAGACACAAACACACAGACTAAAAATGGACACTAGGGGGTCTAGGGAGTAGTGCAATTTTTAGAGTCTATTTTCATCGGCAGATAATCCACATTTGTTGTTCCACTGAGTATTTGGAAGGAAAAATAGTAACAAGCTGTCACTTCTTCCTCTTGGTCTGTTTCCTTCAGTTGTCTCCTGGTTTTCCTGATTTTTTAATGGTTCAAAGCAGCTCCTGCCCAGAATGATCTGACTGAGGCATCCAGTCCTATTTATCAATTTACTCACAGTGGTTGGACTGTGTTGTTTGAATTTGTTGGTCCTGCATACATTAGGGTGTGAAATATGTGAGAGAGAGCGTGACACATACTGCGTTCAGTGATAGCGTTGCGCGTCTCCTGATTGCTGGTTTTGTTCTTCAGGTTCTGGGCTGCTGTGACTTGTCTCTCCAGGAGGGGACGCTTCTGGTCCAGCTCCCCCAGAGAGTCCTGGAAACACAAATATAGAGTCTTGTTTAAATGCACAGGTTTGAAACTTTAATTACTTTAACGTACAATAACTCATTGGCAATGGAGAAGATGGCAGACAAACCAATCTGCTGCTGTGTTCATTTATAACACTTCTTCTCCAAATTATATACAAAGATATGATCAATCTATGGGCCAACTTTCAGCTCACTGATATTTACCCAACCATTGTGTTATTTGTGACTGTTGAGGTCCTAACCTTGAGCAGGCCGATGTTATCGCTGATGTCGTCCAGGTCAGCCACCACCACTCTCTTGTTCTGCACCATGTTATCCAGCATGGTCAGCCAATCAGTGAGCTCAGCCCAGGACTTGTTGAACTGAGCCAGCGCCGCAGAGTCAGGCTGGGAACTTGTTGTCAGAGATTCAGCTGAGACACAAACACACTTATTGAACCAAGAGCACACAATGTTTGTTTGTTGGATCCATTTGAAGAGTAGGTTCCACATGTGATGTATATATGTTTATTGCTTCTTTCTGTCAAAACCTCCATTTTTCTCCCCCTAATTGAACAATGGGGATGCATTTCCTCCACGTGCTTCATTACTCAGGTGCTAGCCACCAAAATCAAGGTCAGGAAATTACTAGATTGTCAGAGCGCTGCTTTTGTTGTGGGGCCCCTAAGAGGATAATCAAAAGACAATAGCACAATTTTACAGCAAAATATTTGTGCCCGGGAGCTAATTTTTTCTTGGACTGCCATCTAAAGAAGGAACCTTGGACTCATGCAGATCAAAGCATCTAAGCAGATTTATTTTCCAGGCGAAAACATGTCCTATTTAACGGGATCCTACTGGGGGCTGTCCAGGTACAGGGTTTGAGTTCAAAGAGACCTTTGTCTCTTTATACAACAAAGGGACCAATAGTCTGCTTCAGTGTACATGCAGACATGTAAGGTATTGTTTCATACTATGTATAAATAACATTATAAATAACATTATTTCTTGTAATTGGAGCCGTCAAAAACACACACAGAGGAATCACAAGGCATTCATGTCAACTGTCTGGAAAAAAGAGAGGCTTACTGGCTTTTTTGGCCACCAGGAGGGCAGCCATTCTCTCTTTATGCTGCCGCAGCAGCTCCAGGATCACTGTCCAGTCTTCTCTCAGCTTGGCATACTTCATCTGTCACACACACACACACACACACGCACAAAAGGCTTATCCCAACAATGACTTCACAGACAGAACCAAGTTGTACAAATGCAAGCAAAGGCTTTTATTTTGATGAACCATCTTCAGGTTTGGAAAGAGCAGCACAACCTTTTAAAGTCTAATACTGCTCAGTGTTTTTGATCTTGAAAGTATGACACACATTAATAAAATACATAACGTGGATCTGATGAAATGTTTGAAACAATGCCACTGATGAGATTAAAGTAAAAGTGTGAGATTAATTTTGATTCCCCAGAGGAATACAGCAGGTTGACACATTTAACACTGACATGTCTTTGTTTGTTATCAGTCATCATAACCGCGATTCAGACGATTCACACACTGAGAACGTCATTTGTTTGATTTGATTCAGTGTGTGTGTGGAAAGATGCTTCCACAAAGAGCAGGCAACAGCATTGAGTGGAAAACACACATTGGTTTACTCACCTTGTCTGGCTGGCTGGGCGGAGTGTCCCTGTACATTTGATCAGCTCGCGTCAAAACGACTTCCACTTCTGGTTGCTTAACTTGCACCTCCTCGATGATCTGCAGACAGAGGGAATTAGGGCCAGCATTTTCTTTTTGAAAGCAATTGGAAATTTTCCAACATCTTGAATAGCTTGAATAGATTGGGGGAAATAGTATTGTGCGTGTGTGTGTGTGCGTGTGTGCCATACCCTGGGAGGTGGCTCCTCAGGGCTGTGCTCGAGCTTGGCTCTCGTGCTGGATGCCCAGGCTGACAGGTCGTCCAGCTGACCCTGAAGCATCTCCAGCTCCCTCAGGAGACCCTCAATCTCCAGCTGACGCTCGGGCAGAGCCCTGGAAACCTAAACAAGCAAAGCATTTAATTTAATCAGTTTACATCACACTGTTAAAAACAATTGCGACAATTAAGGAAAGTTAATATTGTGTTTACGTGACATGTGATGCCTGTGCTGTATCGAGTCTGAGTCTGATGACTACTACTGACTATAAAACAAAATAACAACAAGTAAAAATCGAATTAAATGTTGCAGAGGGCACATGTGACTTGAAAGTGTGAGAGTGAAGAGGAAGGTCGGGTGACAGATGTTGGCATGCTGTTCACTGTAGTGTTCACAGTGGTTAACTGCTGACCTGAGCCCAGCGGTTGTTGATGATCCTGATGTCTTTGTGTTTGTCAGCAGGAAGTGTTTTCAGTTTGTTCCTGGAGTTCAGATCCTCCACTGCCGCCTTCTTGGCAGGAAGCTCCTCCACGCGAGCCTGATACACACGCACGCACGCATACATACATAACAAAGTCTTTTCAAGGTTGAATTTCACAGCATCTCATTGGAAACCATGACACCCTCTCAATTAAATTACACACCCACAGACATACATAATGTCCTGCTACTCAAAGCTGAGTGTAATAATAAAGAACTCATTTACACTATAGTAGCAGCTTTATTAAATTACATAGATTAACTTAACTCAAGGCCACAGAAACTAACACACACGACTCAGTCGATCCTAACTGTTGTGTTGGGTCTGGATGGTACCTGGACTTTGCTCAGAGTGTCTCTGATGTGCTGTGGCTCTGCAGGCTGCAGAGGGATGGCCAGGACGCCCTCGGCCTTGTCCAACCAGCCCAGCACTGAGCCCATGTCCTCCTGTAGTGCTGCAGCCGCTGTACGTGCCTCTGAAGACCTGCAGGAGGACAACATGAAAAGAGGGGAGGAGGTTGAGATATGCTTTTAAAGCAGGAATGCTCTTAAGGAGGAAAGTCACACAATGTCCAACTCCCTCCTGATCTCCTTCTGCCCTGTTTTTCCGCACTGTCAATGTGCCCATACTGTATATTGATAAATCTCAGGGATCTAACTCTAGCACGGTGCCACTGTGGCAGCTACAGTGGATCTCTGTGCACAAAGACCTTCAGGTCATTTTACAGGTTCCAACTCTTGAGATTTACAGGTTACATACTGTGTTTATGTGCCAGGACAAACAGACATGTGAATCAAATAGTATTTTATGACAGTGATCTTTCAGAGACATGTGAAAGTAAGAAAACAAGGAGAAGGGACCTGAAGGCACACACACACACACACACACCTCCTCTTGTGCTCATTGAGCTGCTGGCAGGCGTTAACCCAGCGAGTGTTGAGTAATTTGAGCTGTGTCTGGAGCCGCAAGGCATCATCTGGTGTGCTCAACTGGCTGATGTCCTCTCCTGCGGAGTTCACTCTGCCCAGCACCACTTCCTGGAGAGGTATGGCCTCTGTCAGGTCCTGCACACGCGCACACACACACACACACACACAATATAATGTATGAAAATGATTTTATTGCATTTGATAAACTTATATGCTAAAACATTTAAGACTTAATGTGATATTCTGAGGGGATGAGAACCGGCATGTTTAATTAACGATCTAATCAGGGGATGATATTTTGATGTTTCACATAAAATGGATGATACATAAATTGTGATGTGTGAGCTCCGACATTCAGAGGAAGTCTGGAGTAAAGCCTCTGCTCCTCCGTGCCAAACGTAGCCAGTTGATGTGGTTTGGGCATCTGATTAGGATGCCTGCCGTGGTAGAAGGTTTTCCAGGCATGTCCATCTGGTCAGAAGCCCCGAGGGTAGACCTTAACACGCTGGAGAGATTATATATCTCATCTGATCTGGAAATGCTTCAGGGTACTGCAGGAGGAGCTGCAAAGTGTTGCTCGGGAGAAGGACGTCTGAACTTACCTGCCTCCACCGTGTCCCGACTCCAAATAAGGGTTATAAAATGGATGGGTGGATTAAATGAGATGACACATTTTGATGATGACATGTCATGACCATAGACTGTATGGTCATGACATAATATGTTGCATCTTTTTTAGGTCATGTTATGTGATACTTCATCAAACTGTGACATATAGAATCTGCTTGGGGAGAAATCTAAGAAAAAGAAAGATGACTGTGCTGACAGAAGCACTTTTGACGAATGCCACTTGCTCCTGGGCACTTCAGCAGTATGAGTGGACACTACAGACCAAGCATGAGGCATCCGCAACTGGAATACACTCAGCTGCTCTCTGTTGTACAATCAAATGTGTACAAAGCTGTTATATTTGTAGAGACTTGTGTCTGTGTGTCTGTGTTACCCTGAGATTCTGTCTGTGTGCTGTGGGATCAGTCTCAGCCAGTTTCAAAGTGCTCTCAGCGTCATTCAGCCACTCCTCCAGCGCCTTCTGATCTGAAACAAACTTCTGCCACTTGGAGTTGCAGTCCTGCCAACGTCTTGATGTGCACACATACAAACACACATAGATGTTTGTTTAAATACACTGCATATATATATTGTATATATGTACAAGTACACGCACTGAGCATTTTATTAGGGACGACACTAGGTAGTTCCTCCCTTAACTTTCAAAACAGCCTTTGTTGTTATAGATCTAAATTTAATGGACATATTCCACTTATCCATACTCGACCAATATATCATTCTCCCTCCTTACTTCAGTCGGTCCTGGTAGAGCTTGTTCAGTTTGTCCCAGTTGGTGCTGAGGAGAGTGGCTGTCTCCTGGATCCTCTGACCCTCCAGAGGCCGTGCACTCAATACCATTCCCTCTCTTTGGGCCAACGCTCCCTCCACTGGGCCCCGCAGCTGGTCAATGCTCTCCTTCCCCTCCTGTGTGTGTGGGTGAGAGGATGACAGACAGGGTGGAGGAGACACAGAGCGGTGTGATTCTGGAGGATGCTCATTGTGAAAATCATGCAAAATCAGAACATTTCTTGTTGGAAGATTTGATTTGAACTTCCTTTATCTTTACCTCCATTTTATCAACATATCTCAAGTAAAACACCAACCCTCTGTGAATAACATTACAGGTTCCTGATATCCTTTTCTCAGAGACATTGTCTGTAGTTTCCAGACAGAAACATTAAAGCCTTGCTGACCTTCAGGCAGTGCTCTTGCTGAGGCAGGTTATAATATGCTGCAGGCCAGTATTCAGGAGAGTTCAGCTTGAAGTCCGTCTCCGACACAGAACGCAGCAGCGCCTGCAGCCCTGTTATGTACTCCTGGACACACACAAACGGAGGAAGGCGTAGGCACCAACATACAGGTTGACAAAAACACCCAGCAGAGAGGTAGATCAGAAAAAGACTCCACATATAAATCAATGAGAACATGATACTGTACATGCTTGTTCATTTCTCGAGGCTTGCTTTAAAGAAAGAAATCAGATTTTCAACTAATTATGGCAACGATCTGGGTCCTCATTTGGTTTTTGCACATGAATGGAATTAAATATGACATTAATTCCATGTTAAATTATTGAAGCTATTATAAATGAGAGAAAATCTAAATCAGATAAATAGAAGATACATGTACATTTCTTTTTTTAAACATGTTTTTGTAGTGTGTAGAGTATAAAGTAAGATTGTAGAATTTTAAATGGTTCTAAAGTTTGATAAATGAAACCCAGATCGTTTCATGTCTGTCAGACACCACGTACCTGACAAAAAGTCCTCTTTTAACTCGTTACTAACTCACCCTGTATCATGATCATGTACAAGCCTGTGTCAACTCACTTTTTAACTTATTCAAGCCTTTCATAATGAGTCCGATCTTGAAATGGTGAGTTGAAATGAATTTTACATTTCCCCTGACCATGATCCCCAACAGTCAGCATGGCTAATGAAGCTCCTCTACATGGTGCAGAGTACAGATCCTGGGACATTCACACTCGGCTCTGTCATCATCATTTCATGTAACTGCTGAGCTCATGCTGCCTGGGCGATCGTGCACGCATTAGCTTTATTAGCAGCCCTACGGAAAATAGATGTTTGCTGCTGGCCCTAAGTTAATGAGTCAGCTCTGGGTTCGCCTAACAACCATTTCTGTTTCAAAACCATTCTGGGAAGAACTCCTTCCTATTTATCTTCCTTTTTAAAACTAGAATTATAGAAGTCATAATCTTTGCTTTATGGACGATTTGTTGAGACTGAATTGGTTTTGCATATTGGGCTTTGCTGAAAGAATTCCTGCAAAACATTATTTTGAATTTGAAATTTCCTCAAAAAATGTTAATGTCTGAAGTGCATGTGTGTAATGAAGTGAAATGAGGAGCCAGAGCTCTGAATGTCCCAGTTCTCTGGTAACTATGAACACTGTGTCTGCTGCAGACACAACTCTGTCATACTGGGTTTCCGTGTTATTGTTAGGAGTCATTGGCTGAAAGACACACTGTATATTCAGCTCAAGCTAAATGATAAATACATTCATGGTCAAATGGGTAAAAAGATCATTTTTAAAGGTTGAAGTGGGATGAATATGTTAATCATAACCCAGTGTGTCAGAAACACATTATTTCTAATTTGTGACTAACATTCATATCAAAAGGCTCGAAATACCGTCTGTACGTACACTCAGAAACACTCACACACCTTCTCAGAAACAATTTCTACTTGAATCCTTCCTGACATTGTGTGCATGTGACTGCAAGAGAGCACAGCAGATCTAAATGATGAGAGGGAGAGACTTAAAGTAACACAAGGCCTCCTCTAACTGAACAAAGCTGGCGATAAAACAATAACACAGCCTGTTACCGTGTGGAAATTAAATTAAGCTCCTGGGTCAGTGGGTCAGTAATGACTTTCACATTCAACAGGACGTTTGGCGAGGGCACTTATTGCTCACATGTCTTAGTCTAGCGTGACTAATCTTCTGCTTCTGCCAGTAAACACAGAATCCTAAATTTAACCTGCTTGATGTCATTGCTTTTTCAGGTACAAAGACACAATGCTTGGATATGTGTCCTCAGGGCCTGCAGAGCAAAACGCTGTCTAAACGTGTGTCTCCCACTCTCATTACCTTGTCTACTTCTCGCTTTCTTCTCCTCGACTTGGACTCAATACACATCAACACTGTATTCACTTGTATGGAAACCATTATTGGAGGATTGGCAGCAACAGTTAGAGCCAATTCAGTGTCGACTTTACAGTACGCTACATGTCCTGCAGCATGCTGCATCAGTTCACTGCTGCTCAGGCACTGAGAGGACACGAAAGTACACTAGACGCTGGTATGAAGCCAGAATGTGAGTCATTTCCTCATGTGCATGTGAGTCTGCCAATCAAAGCACCATTAATGTGTGTTTCTGGTGATATTTAGCCACTTGTTTGAAATGAGTTTTTTTTTTTTCACTGCATTAAACAAAAATATCTGTAACTTAAAAAAAATTGAAATACACTTTTCTAACTAGACAATATTTTAAAGCCCTCCCTCCAGTCAAAAAACTAATTAGATGCAAATTATAATTACTCAGAGCACAATAATTCTATTTACTCTAATTTATGTTTGAATAAACAGAATTACCTCTGCCAGCGAGGTTATGTTTTCATAACCATTTGCTTATTTGTCTGTAAATTACAGTTATGCAAAAACTACCTGAAGGATTACCAAGAAAAAAATGTTTCTCTTTTCTTTGACATTTTTCCATTTTTCCTGATTCATCACAGAATAACTCACGGATCTCAAGGATCTTGATGAAAAGAAAAATCTTTCTTAATGAATTTTTATGTTGTTTCATAATGGAGCTGTTGGGCATCAGCAAAGCTCTGCACTCTGCTAAATGCCCTTCTAGTTTAACATAAAAACAATCTCTGGCATGATTCCTCTCAGCACCTGAAGAAATGTATAAGCATGAAAGTACACTGCAGTACAGACATGTATTAGGTCCAAGTTTAAGAGGTGACACCATGTAATGTGAGTGCATGTGATTGGCTAAGAGGATACGCACATCTTCAAGGATTGGCAGACCAGGGAACTGCCAGGGGGAAATGCGATTGGTCGTCGGGGGGGCATGCAGTGACACAGTCAGACAGAGCGATCAATGAGAGTCCAACATGTGAGTGTGTTTCACATGTACACAGAAGACATGTCAATGAATATGCAGCAAAGAAAAACGAAAAAGCAACTTAAATTTTAACTGAGGCTGAGATTTAAAGTCACTTGTTCAAACTCAACTCAGATTCAGTAGAGGGGGCTAAAGAATAAAATGTATGTGCTATTGTTTCTATGATAGCTTTTGCTTCCAGAATAAAATAAATCAGCTAATTCAAGTTAAAACAAATATCCATCTATATTTTTTTTTTTTATACATGGAGTGAACGTATTGTGTGTTTATTCAAACCCTCATATCACGTCGTCCTCTGAGCTTTAACGCTCCTTTCTTGTTGTAAAACGATTAAAAACACATCAGTGAGTTACACTGTTGCACTTGACATTTGTTGCCTTCAAGTTAAAAGCGAGAGTAAAGTGTGTTTTGGGGTAAAATCCACCTTGCATATTTAAAGGGAATTCATTTTGAGTCGTTGTTATTGGATGTTTCATGCTCACAGTTAGTAAAAACAGTAATTTGAACGACTTAAAGGGACTCACACACTGTTTTTAGATTGTTAGTGAGAGTGAGGAACTCGTCATGTGGTAGTAATCTAAGTTAGTACTGCAGATATAGAAGTCGTGCCTATAGTGAAACTCACACATTGTCTTTTGAAGGGTATGAACTTGCCCTCCACCTCAACCCAACGCTTGTTGAGCTGGAGCTGGCGGGGTTCCACTAGATTGGCGGCACCAGCTTCTGAGAGCTGATTGGCTAAGCCCTGCACATCCTTAAGCTCCTCCTTCTTCTTGTCGAACTCTGAGCCAATTTCCTATTGGAGGAAATCAACCAAGGGGTCACTCACTATTGGCTGAACTTGAGGATAACTGGGGTGTTAAGCACAGAGAGGCATGTGGATGTGCTCAAACACACACGCACACTTATACGTACACACACCACACACACAAACAATTAATACATAATAAAATGTTTAAAACACATCTTTTACTCCTTAGCACGCACTCCGATAATGACAAATATCATCGCCAAACAAACATACACAAGGAATCCATATTGTTTATGGCTCCATTCAAACAACCCAAACAGAATGTGCTGTAAATAGGAGGCACACACTGCTGTCAGACTTTATTCATAGTGAGAAGGAATACAATCACTGGCCAGAGCAGAGAGACGGAGTGTGAGCAGTGAAAAGAAGCAAGAATGGACAGTCAGCTTGACAGACAGACAGACAGACAGAGAGACAGACAGACAGTGTGAAATCTCAGTTGCGGTAATGACAGGTGAGTCTGAGGTGAGCGCAAGAGATGTCCACCTAGCGAAATGTCATAGTGATCATCTGAAAGTGAAAGACAAACATAGACAGTCAGGGAGGGAGCAGAGAAAAGGTGGAGTTCAAGGGTTCTTCTCCGTCATTTTTATCATACTGGAAACTGTTAACAACGGTGCACGGACATGTTGCATTAACATCGATGAACTGATCTATTTATTCTTCTGTCAACTCGGTTCAGAGGCATTTAGAATTCATCATTTTTCATACTGAGATGCCTTTAAAATTCAAGATTTTGTGTTTGATTTCATTGTTCGTCAAAATGTTTTATTGTACCTGATACTACCTGGTGTTTACCTGCTGGAGATACGTTTTCCACTATTACTTTTACCTCCCAGTTTTTTAATTGCTGTGCTATCTGCTTGAATAGAAAACTCAAAGCAATCTGTTTTTGTTGCACTGTGGTAAATACAACCAAATACATTGTGCAGGTCAGCTGTTACAAGCTATGATGAATAATAATCATCTGTAATGATTATCGATGATAACACAACACAGTTTAATTAACCTTTTTCCCTGCAACTCTCGAAAAAAATCCCTGTTAACAGCTGCAGTCTTCTACTGACGACCAGAATTGATCTGCAGTTATTTCTTTGATTTAAGATAATGAAGGCTTCCTGAAACAAATAATCAGAAAGTGCTTTTCCCCAAGTGAACATTGCAAAAGCCTTGACACCAACCCTTCGTCCAACAGGAGATGAGGAGAGGAACAAAAAAGATTCACATATGAGGTTTTGTTTTTGTGTGAGAGAAAAACACATGAAGATATTATCTTGATTCCGTGAGCAGTACGTGTACATGTGTATGTATGTGTCTCGTCACCTTGACCCTCTCTCCCTCGGGGGGGTCGGGCAGTTGGTCCACGCTGCGTTGGATGTCGTCCAGCCAGGCCAGCAGGTCATGTGATTTCCTCCTGTACTGGTACCACTGAGGCGCAATAGCCAGCGCTTTCCTGTTCCTCAGTAAACGCAGGTCCTACACACACGTCAACACACAAACACAATTACACAAACTGAGTCCAGACAGGAATTTAACTTTTACACATGTTTTTTACTCAGTTTGTTGGTCCAGGATGAGACCCTCAGTTCTAACCAGCATTTCATTCTGACAGTGTGTGTGTGACTTTACCTTGACGGTGTTGTACTTGCTGTTGAGCTGGTTGTGTTTCACTCTGATCTGCTCTCTCTTGTCCTGATCTGGGACTCTCTTCTGTAGATTCTCTCCTTTCAACAGTAACTCCTTCACTGCACCTTCCTCACAGTCCTACACGCACGCACGCACGCACGCACGCACGCAC